AATGGCTTCTTCTGGATCAACATGTTGATCACTCATGAACCAACGTGGTTCATAGGCACCAATTGGAATCATTGAAAAGTCAATTGGACCAAATCGTTCTCCAATTTGATTAAATGTTTGTCCACTATTGAAAAAATTATTAAGGAATGAATATTAAAAGTCTACTTACTTGTAACCTGTATCACCTGCATGCCAGAAAGATCTTGTCACATTCTCATTGCCATCAGTATAATCAAACTTGAATCCCCAAGAACCCCACAAGACGTGATTTCTATCAAACCCTGTTCTTGAACTCCAATGCTGAGCTGGCAGACATACGAATGACAGATTGGAAACTGTCTGATTCTCAGCTGTAACCTTGAATGTAGTTTCCTTCCACCAATCCAAATCTACAAGTTTTTCCTTCTCGGCATCACTATTTGAATAATGTTTCATCATCCACTTGTATTTCATTTTGAATGGTAACAAGAAAATTGGATCATGATGTTTCTGTATCTCTTTGAATGCATGTTCATCCAAATGATCGTAGTGATTATGAGATATAATCACAAAATGAATCTTTGGCAATTTAGAGATATCTGGAAATGGAATTGGTTTAATTCTCTTTGGACCAAAATACTGTGAAGGACTACATCTCTCTGAAAATACAGGATCTGTTATTATATTTACACCTCTGTACTGAATGAGAAAGGTCGAATGTCCAATCCATGTCACTTGATATTCATCAGAAGACTCACTAGGGTTCATTAATTTATCCCAATTCGGTTTCAATTGAGGAAGTTCTTCATCACTCGGAATTGATGGTGAATTAAATAAGAAATCCTTCATCATTGACATTCCATCGAGTACTGATTTATCATGATTCACTCCAATCCAAGGATCTTTAAACTTTTCTGGAGGTATTACTACTGTAGTAGGTGAAGATGTTGAAGATGATGAATTTTTCGGAACATCCCAATGATCAGGTATTGTTGTATTCAAAGATGAAGATGTTGCTGAATTATCATTCATAATAACCCTCTCTACCAAAATCTTCATGGTTCTACCATTACTGGAGGAGGTGCCAGTACTTGTCATTCTTCTAAAGAAATGATGTGCTGCTGCAAGTTTGTTGTGGGCGAGAAGTGATTTAATTTTTTTTGAAGTTTTTAAATTTTTAAAACAAACTTCTACTTGGTTATACTAGTGAGAATGAAAAATACTGCTGCGCACGCATTCTTTCATTAGTAATATATTCAAGAATCAATATTCATCGAGGACAATAGGAAATGTCCGCCTTATTGAATGCTTGTTTGTTGTAATTTTGCAGAAGTTCATGTTAAGCAGTTATTACAAAATGTATCTGCAATTTTATTAGATCTGTAAAATCAAGTATCTCAAAATCTCCTCAAATAATGATCCATTTTGAAAATTAACAACAAAATATGATTCTGAAATCAATAGTATCATGTGAAGGAACAATTGCAAATCTTGAGAAAGTGTGAAAAAAGAGAAACACTTTTATTAAAGATAAAAAACTTGGTGGGATGATTCTCCACACTTATTGGAGCATCTCCATGATATTGGAATGATGTTCCGATATTGTACATGTGTGGATAGGTGATGAAACCTCCACCATGACAATGACAATGCTATTGAAGAAAGTAACGATGAAGATGTTATATATTGTGAAAATAAATAGTACTACTAGAAGAAAGTTTTTGATTTGGTCAAGTAGATGACGAGGTATTATTCATTACATGTTGAAAATAATCTTGTATCTATTCCAATGAAGACAAAGATCCAGTCTCCAAAATTGACCCCACAAATACTATTTACTATTATGAACAATCTCCAATTGATGGTTTTTGTGATGACCAAGTAGATAGGCCGATTTTAATGATTTTGATGAAAATCGACTTTGAGCCAAATTAAAAATAATTTCAAAGAGTAAACTTGCGGAATACTATTTAAAATACTATTAGAACAGCAAATTAACCTGTTCTAACAACATCCGAGATGTATTTATTGATTTGAAATTTTTCCCAAGTGATGATGATATTAAATTTCTTGATGATTAAAATTTCAAACAATAAAATTACTATTCTACTATTGATGGATATCCAAAGATGATGTACATTGAATATCAATGTATTCCGTATTGAAATGATGAAGATAATCAGCAATGCTGAGATGAAGTGATTATTTTTTTTTCAAATTTTTTATTTGTTTGATTTAATTGATAACAACAAACTTGAATTTTAATACTAATGGTCTGAATCTTCACTATTTGATGATCACCATCACAACAAGAAATCTTTTAATTTTATTATAATTAAAATTTTAAAAAAATTACATCAAAATGCTTTCATCAGCCGCTCCGATCCATTTGGCTGCTCTAAATTTTGCTTTACAGGCCAGTTTGTTAGGATTTTCCACGTCGATCATTCCGGAAGGTACTGGTGAAGTGGAATTATTTTCATCTGATCGGGCGATCTCTTCCGAAAATATGGATGAGAGTGATGATGGTAATGGTAGTGGTGCTGGTGGTGATGGTGATGGTTCAAAGAAGAGAAAATATTGGAGAGAAGAAGGTGATGAGGATAATCCGTTGCAAAATATTGTATTTGTTACTGGTAGAAATACTAATACACAATGTTTGATTGATATTGATGATTATGAGAAACAAATTAAATCATTTGTACAAAGGATGCAAAGGAGAGTAAATTTTGCGGAACTTGCTGATTTAAAACCGAATGGAGAGTTGGGAGAGAAGGAGAAGAACTTTGGATTGGATTTGGCAGAGGATGACAGCTTGATGACATACTTGATCGGAGTTAAAATTCCTGATAGAGTGGAAGGTGCAAAGTTTAGGATAAAACAGATTGTTAGTTTGGAAAATGGTACCATGATTTTAAATGAATGTGATTCACAAGTTTATATTATTGGTAAGTTGTAATTTCTATTCGAAACAATAATAATATTTTTAAATACAGGTGATGTTGGAGATGGAATACAGTCTGTGGAAACTCTATCAAAGATTTCACTATACGATGGTGATTGTATGGTGGAAGAAAAAATTGAATCAATTCATAACGGAGCTGATTTTGCCTTCTTCATTACCGAATCTAATCAATTGTATGCTTTTGGGCAAAATTTACAAAAACAATTATCAATTCCAAATTGTTCACATACAGAACCATGCAAAGCTCAACAAGTAACTTCTTCTTTATTTCACAATGAACGACCAGTCAAAGTTGCATGCGGTTCTCAGCACACAATACTTGTAACAGAGCAAGGAAACATTTACTTTTCTGGAAGATTACATAATTTTGAAAGCTCACAATTTATTCTTTGTAGAATCTCAACAGTCACTACAGAAAGCATTAGGGAATACTTAATTTCACAAAATATTGGCAGAAGCAAGGACTTGATATTTAATGGATATGTAGTCCAGAAATCTACGTGCTATTGGCTTTGGCAAATAATGAATTCTTTAGATATCTTCCATATTATCAAAGATTGGATTAACTCATTCTCATTCGAAATGGAACAAATTGGATTCACTGTTCTGGAAGGAATTAATGAAGCACCTAAAGTAGAGGATAAAACTATTCAAAGTCAAAATGCCATGAAAAGACTTGAAACACTTATCCAACTGATATCATCTGTTGAAGAACATATCACTTCCAATGATATTATTCAATTATTAATAGCAGTATTTAAGGATGGATATCTTCAAGCAGGAAAGTATTCTTCATTTGAAACACTATTTTTGAGAGATTTAGCATACTTGATTTTCACTGAAATAATTACAAATTATCAATTCGCAATTCAAATATGCACTCTACTTTCTCTAGACATTTTCAGTGAAATTGATTTGACAAAAAATATCACTGAACTGTTTGTTTTGAACATTTCACATAAGAGAAAGGATCTCATTTTCTTTGAAAATCAATTTTGCTTTACTCAGAAAGGTTATCAAGGAGTTCATCAACTTGTTAACACATTTTATGAATCATTTATTGTTACTAAATGTAACAAACTTTATCACTTCCCAGCAAAGGGTTACGCTGCACATTTACTGACCTTTTCTCTTCTGAATCCTTTCCTGCAAATAGGGCCAAAAGGATGCGAAAATTTCAGGAATAGAAATGATATTAATAATGAGTCAAAACGACATGTTGTACCAGTCGATGCCTACTTTGATAGCGATACACAATACTTTAGAGCCTTTACGGATGTTCTTACAGAATCAGGATCAATACTAATTGGAGATGCATACGATAACTGGAAGGAAAATTTAGAAGTTTTGACACTCATTGAACGTAATGATCTGACTAGGATTCAAAATCCTCTTCCTTATCCAATTTTGATTGAAAAATCTGATTTTGAATTTAAAATGTACTTTAATACTTTGGAAAATAGGTTACATGGTAATATTGTAAATATTTCTAAATTACCAGAAGGTGTTATTTTTTCACTAGAAGACTATACCAGCTTTATTTTAGGAAGTAATGCTTATAGTGAGATTGGCTACCCGTCATTTTACAGTTTCACAACTCACTTCAAGATACATGAGACTTTGAACAAGCTCCGTCCTTCATCAATTTTTTCTGAACAATATTCGATGGTACTGGAATGTTCTAAAGATGCTACGAAAAATTTAGATTCTAGATTTATTACGGGTATTCACAATTCTAACTATTTGAACAAAATGTTAGTTCCTTTCCAATATCATCAAGCTAATAGCTCAATAAGAGATGATAGAACATTCTTCTTCTCTGGAGACTCATCTGGAATCAGATCAATAAGTGCTGTACCTGAAAATGAAGACGAGCAAGAGGATGGAACTAAATTTATCAAAGAGAGTGAAAAAATGGTTCAATTTAATCATTTGTCTTTGCTAAAGGTTAGATTTGCTCCATACTTAGCTAGATATGGATATGATTTGAACCTGAGTATTGGATTGGATAATATGATTGTGTTTTTTACCAAAAAGACAGAACACAACAATAGTTGGATTTTCATGATTAGAAAACTTGAAAAATTAGTGGATAGTTCAAGATTTGCTGACTGCGAGTTTTTATTCTAGAATAAATCACTACATTCTGGAATTCCATTAGAAACATGTGTTTATTCTACCACGTAAAAACTTCCTTATGGAGATGGAATCTAATTCCATTTCTTTCATTTGCATCCCAAATGGCATTCGAAACTGAAGTTACCAATTGTTCTGGACCACAAACTAAAACACCAACATATGCATTCAATTCTCCTCTTTCTTTCATTTCCTTTTTCACTTGTTCCAAGAATTGTTTTGGATTGGCTCTTCCTTTATGAATGAATGCTGTTTGTTGTGAATTCTCATCCTTCATTTTGGAAATGAAAATATTTGGTTTCAAATTCTTATTTCCATTCGTTTCCAAAAGTTGAGGAAATACTTGAATCATATCAGTGGTTGGAATTGACCAACAAGTATAAACAGTCTTATCTTGAACATTCTTTTCCAACAAGTGTGAATAAATTGAATGAACTGGTGTAATACCAATTCCACCACCAAACATGACAATTGTCTTGTATCTCAATAATGGAACTGATAATGATCCATAAGCACCTTCAACTCTACAAATTAATTCATTGGCTGATTGAGCCTTCTCTTGAGCAACTTTTGCAACTTGTTTTGACCATCCACTTCCAAAATTCTTGACATGAACTGTAAATTCCAATTCCTTCTTTTTAATCATTCCACCATCAATTTCCTTACAACTACTAACTGTGATTGGATGGTGTTGATATTTTGAAACAGCAGGAATATATAAGAATATGAAATGTCCCATTGAAGGATTACTACCAAATGTTAGGAATGGTTTTCTCATTGTAATGGTTGTAACTTGACTCTTTTCATCATATTTGATTGAATCAATTTTGGTTGGAACACCAAATCCAAATACCACTCTCAAAAATACATCAAATAGATATAATAAAATTGATAATGCCATATAAGGTAATAAATTAATATATCCAGAACCATGAATAATTGATAAAATGACAATTAAAATGGATAAGATGACATGTGAAATTAAAAAGACTTCCCACAACTTTCTTCTTATGACTGGGAATGTCATTAACCAAAGTATAGTCATGAAAAACCATGCAATAATTCCCAAAATTGGAAATGTTGGAGATGTCACATCAACTAAATATAATCCAGATGCATTATAATGAACAACCATTGCAATTCCATGAGCAGTTACAAAAAACCATTGTAAAATACCCAACCATCTGTGATATTTAATTGCTCTATCAAATGAAATTCCAAATAAAACTTGTAAAACTGAATATCTTGTGACTGGAAATAAAATTAATCCAAAATTGAAAACACAAACAGAGGCAAATGCTTTTCCAGCTTCTGCTGATGTTGCATTCACATATCCAAATGCAAACCAAATGGCCACAAGAATCCAATAACATGAAATTACAACAGCTTCACCCAATGTTAAATCTAAAATGGTATTAATGTAAATTCCAATAAATTTCAAATTGACTTGTTTTGTCAATCTTCTGTACAAGATCAAATCAAGGAATAGATTTGGATTCACTCTTGGTCCAATCACACTCAATAAGAATCCACCAATGACCAACAATCCACAAATGAATGCAGTAGCAATCAAATGCCATCTGTAGGAATTTGCTAATTTCAAACCTTCATCAATGACAACAGTTCCAGTTTGTGAACCACTACTTGATCCACATGCCAAACTACTGCCAGGAGGAGCTGCCATTTCAGTGGAAGCTCCATTTTGCATGAAATTAATCATGACATTCTTGTCTCTGTAACTGTGAACAGAAGTAATGGAAGTAGAAGTTTTGGAAAGAGCCCATGAAATTGGAATTTGTGCATTGCTGAATGTATAATCCATAGCGTCCTTAGTATTTACCAAACGTGTCCATTTCAAATGGAGTTCATAATTGCCATTGACAGATCTCAAACCACCATTGCTTGAAATAAAATTTTGAGTGGTGTCTGGAGCTGGTGCTTGCAAATTTCCTTGCATGTAAGCATCAATAATCACTGCCTTACCAGTTGAATCTACATAACCAAACATGGTATCAGCAGTTTGCATTCCTGAACTAGCTCCATGATTGAAACCAAGTGAAGCATAACCATAAATACCTGTAGCCAACAATCCAAATTCAATAATTGGATTATTGGCATCATTTGGATTGGTCAAAACTTTCCAATACAATTTCAAAGAATCAGATGTTCCATAATTAGCAACTAACTTGTAATTAGCTGCAGGATAATCAGCAGAATTGACCCACTGAGTTAAAATACTTTGTGAATATCCAGTTGGAAGTGAACAGTTATTTCCACCTCCTGTTGCAATCACTGGTGGTTGTGGAAGCTTTCCATATTCACCAGTTACGAATCCAGCCGAAAGAAAGTTAACAGTTGTGCCACTTCCTTGACTGGTATGTTCCACCATTGAAGTACTAGTTGAGTGAATAGCCCAGGACATTCTCATGGCAGTGTTAGTAAATACAACATCTCTAGTATCGTTGGTCTTGACGAAACGTGTCCATTTCATGTGAGTTTCGGATATTCCATTAACTGTTCGAAACCCTCCATTCTTCTGGATGATATCATCAGAGGGATCACTGGTTGGTGGTGCAGGTTTGTTAGTCATCCAAGCGTCCATAACAGTGATGCTACCTGAAGCTTGATTGAAGAAACCAAAGACTTTAGATTGAATATTAATGCTTTAGAACTTTCGAATAAAAAAATAACTTACTGGTATCTCCCTTCATTGGATCTCCACTTAAATAACCAAAACAAAAGGAAAGGTAACCTTTAGTACGAAGAGCAACAGCACCAAATTCTAGAATGGCATTATTAATATCTGAACTCTTTTCGTTTTTTAAGAGTTTCCAATAAAGTTTCAGATTCGAACCGAAAGAGGCAACGTTTGTTGCTGGATAATCAGAGGGATTTACGAATTGAGTTTCAATACTTTGGCTATAGGTAACGTTTGCTGCATGTGCTGGGTCATGACATGCTAAAACTGTTACCAACAAGAGTGCAGACAGAAGAAAGAGCTGCGAGTTTCGAATAACATAAAACGCCATTTTTTTGTTGGTATCCAGTTACAAGTTCGGCAAGGGCTGAAACCTAAATTGACTTTCTGATGAAACAAATGGCTAAAAGAATCCAAGTGGCTATTTGCATCACCTATCCGAAACCATTGGAAACTTTGAGAAATCGTTCACCAAAAGAATTGGCATGTGAAGTTCTCTCTTAATCATTGTGTTCTTCAGGTAGCCCCAATAGACGTTATTCGAAACTTGAAGTAGAGCGGAAAGGAAACATGAAAAATTGGGTGTTTCGTTTTGACCTTTTACATATTAACAGCTCCCAACAATTCATGTCGCTAACCAAAAGGAGATTATTTTATACACTAGATATCGATAATGGTTCATTCAACAATGTCCAGAATGCATTACCTATCAGTTTTTTATCTTATTTCCATTTGGCACCGCGTTTCATTCTTGCTTGTTTTTCAATTTGTAAACTCACGTAAAAAAAAATACAATAACATCAACAACACCACATATCAACAACAACAACAACATGAGCAACAACAAAATCAAAACAAAACAAACAAGTATTTTCTATGGTCACCAACAAAACAGAAGTAACATTTGAAGTATACAGGTTGAGCAAAAGTAAGAGGGTAGCTATGAATAAATCGTTGGAGAAGAATAACAATACAAACAAAATACGTTTTGTTGTAGAGAAGGTTGATGATTTGAAAACAGCTAAACGCCAAGTAACAAACATTCTTGAAGGCAGTGAAGAGAGTAAGAAAGTGAACATACCATTAGAGAAAAGACAACAACTTGAATACTTTTTTGATACTTCCCTACCAACAATAACACTGCGTGAGATAATGGATGAAAAATATTCTGATGAATATTATGCAACAAGATACCTAAAGGTACTTCCGAGAACTATTGAGGAGGTAGTTATTAGAAATGCTCAGCCAGATACAACCCATAATGTCAAGTGGCATCATCAACATTATGTTTCTGTAACAGATGATCACGAAGCAAAGCTATTCTTTGATTATCAAATACAAAAGGCAAAACCATATAGCATTTTAAAAGAAGAGATGTTGATTGAGGGTGGCATTGCAAGGGAAGGAAGAATAGTTCCAAAGATAACATATCATTGGTTGTTTGCTGGAAATTATAGCCTTCCTCCTTTGTTTAGTGATAAGTGGTATGCATTTAAATGGGAGCATGATGGTATTTTATGGAAATTTGGAATTAATCAATTTAAATTAATTTACAAACCTGAAGAGAAGATGATTAGAATTGAATTTGATTATTTCTGCTCTATGCTTGATGAATCTGTTAAATGGAATAAATATTAAACAATTATTATAATTTAAATTATTCCTTTTATTTTATAAAAAGGAGTTTGGTGATGGATTGGAGGATGAAAAGAATGAAAATGGAGATGATGG